AGAAGGTATTTCTCTTCTCATTCATTTATATTGAAATAGATTAGGTGCTGTCAAACAGCTGTGGGCCAAGTTCAGCCTGTCACTTGTTTTTGTCTGGCCTGTGAGCTAAGAACACTTTTACAACTTATGATGGTTGAAAAATTATTAAAAGAAGAAGAATTTGTGACACATGGAAATTGGATGAAATTCAAATTTCAGTGTAAATGAATGAAGTTTCATTGGTGCATATGCTCATTCATTCTATGTATGTCCTTTGCTGGCTTTGTGCTACTATGGCCCAGTTGTGTAATGTGACAAAGACCATATATGGCACTCTACATGCTCATTGCTTGGTGCTGCTGCTTGAGCCACCACAAATCACAATGATGTCATTACAAATCAACAGTAATTTCATGTGCCATGTGTATGGTCAGACTCTGATGTTTTACTTTTGAATTACCAGTGTATACCCTTCAAGTAAAAAGAAGAAAATAAAGGAAAAGTAGACTTTGAATTTTACGCTTTTAAGGGTCAGTGGAGTATGGATTACCTTTATTGAAGAAGTTGGTAAAGCATAGTGTTTATTATACAATGACACTAGATCTGTGCTGAAAGAATACAATATACATCAATATTACCAGAGTAAGCAGTCATCACAATATTCCACATTCATAAGAAAGAAATGGCTAGAACAATTTAAAAGATTTAAACAGAATATCTCCTCACAGCAGAGTTGTTCCACAAAAATGAAAATGAAGCTTCAATCAAAATAAATTTGTCGGTGACTTATTTGCTAACCAAGCAAGGTAAGTTATTTGCTGAAGTTGAGTTAATTACATTGAGTTTGAATAAAGCACCTAAAGAAATGTGTCCAGAGAAAATAAACTTCCCAAAGACTATATGGACTGCACCCACCACCCCATGAGTTTACTAGTGTCTTTAGGAGACCTGTGCTATGAAGAATTGTTTTAAATTAATATTATAGTTTGAATTTTGTTAGTAAAAAATTATGGAAAATTTTACTCTCTTGCTATATAAGCAACTACATGATATCTTTGATGTTGCCACTTGGCCGGCAAAGCTAAAGCATTAACTGTCTTGCCCTTTACCACAAAAGGTTGCCTCCTCCTGGTATAGGCTCATAGTTTTTTGGTTTTTTTTAAAGTTTTATTCAAAAGGTTATGATCCATACTATCATTATTTATTTTAATATTCAAATGTCCCAGAATTGGTCAGATGCAATATAGCCAAGCTGACCCTGGTGGCCTTTTGACAAGTCTCCATATTCTTTGAGTATTTGTTTACTTTCTAGTACAATAAGATGTACCAGGCTCATTTTTACTTTCCTTGCCCTCCTTCTGCAATCAGCCATTTCTCCTGATTCCTGTAAACAGAGAATGGTATTTAGAATCCAAGATCTTGGTTTTCTTCAGTGTGATGATTGCTCACTGATTCTCATTGTTTTTAGGTCCCCCAGCAGATAGAGCTAGGAAATATACGTTTTGATGTGATATGATATGATGTGGTCCAATGACCTCAAATCTTTGAGTTCTTAAAGGATATAAAAAGACTAGAAAAATTGCTTATGTGGAGTGAGGAAGAGGAACAAGTCATTGTACCACAACTGTACAGGGCTTTCCAAGTCCTCTCTTCGATTTTGCCTTTTCAGACCGTTATTGGAATAGTGCATGCCCTCCAGAATCTTGGAAAACTAAGATTTCACTAAGCATTGGAAAATTCCATGGAAACAAAATGATTAGCAGTATTCTTAGTTTTCAAATGTATCACATCATTGTTTGGTATGGAATTGAGGAAACTAAGACAATTCTTCAGTCACAGATACACTACTGTCTTTCACTCTGGTGTAGGTACAGACTGGTTTAGAGATAGAGAACAGGGAAAGATCTCAAGAATCTCAAAAGGACTTTAAAGCATTTAGGCCAATGAAAATTCATGCTATGAAATCAGAAATTCTTGGCTGAGCTCTTCATTTTAATAAGTAGTCTATTCCTATTGATTTCTACTTTTGGGCTATGCCATTCTCACAAAACGGATTATTGTCTTAATTTACAAACACTGTGAAACAAGAGACAAGCTGAACATTTACAAGCTTCGATTACCCTCAAATTAAACCCTATTTCCTTATTAGTGAAGATACATGAAAGGATAAAAATTCTCCCCTAGGATCAAATTCTGTGTTTAGAGGAACCTGAGAATCATTATCAAACAGCAGCTTATGTAGGCAAAGGCGACTGAAGAATGGGTGAAAGCTCTGAGGGAGATGTTGGACGGGTCTGAGACAAATGCCAATTATCTTAGAACACAGAAAAGATGGGCCGAATGTTCTGTAATGTCTACTTTAAAAGAAAAAGAGGAGTGGAAGGGCATCACTTAGGATGGACAACGCTGGGCATTTTGGAAAATCAATTTAAATACTCAGTGAGTTTATAAGCTCCTTGGAAACTCCCATAGCCATAGCTAGTTGAACATAGGATGGTGCAAATAAAGACTCGAAAACAGAACACCAGCCCTCAAAGACAGGTCTCAAAGATTTACTAACCAGCCTTCACGCCCAAGGAACTTGTTGTTATAGCTTTCAAATGCATCTTGTTGTTTGTGATGTACTTACTAAAGTTAAGTAAATATGACTACTGGTTACATGCAGTTTTCTTTATTACCTCCATCAGTTTTGACTCCTTTGCTGTTTCCAGAGTAACCAGATATCTTTTTCCTAATGTCAACATCTTACCTAATTTGTTTATCCAAACTGAGTTCCCTGCTGACTCCCTAGAACACTACTCATTGGCTGAGACAATCTATGTAAGAAGTATTTCTTTCTCAGCAACACATCAATATTTGCCATCCTTAAAATCATTATCAGAAGTGGATTTCCTACAGCTGATCTGCAACAGTGAGTAGTCAAAGGGTAGACTTTGAGCCTCTTTCAAGTCTCACCCTCTTTTCAGCATACAAATGTATTTATTTTGTTCTCCTCAATTTTTCTGTTTTTCCTCATTTTCTTTTGGACGTCAGTACAAGAACAAGAGGGAGACCCCAGACAGTTTTTTTCTCTCTATACGATCACTTTCTTACCTATTCATCAAAGAGATGCAAATAATATGTCACTTGCCAATGACAAGATCCCCCACTAATCTATCGCAAACCCCACTCTTTTCTCCTTGTTTCTGTGACACAACAGCTCTTAATAATTCTCTGTCTCCTGAGACTGTGCAAGACAGACTAAAGGCAATAATAAATAGCAAAAAAGGAGCTGTTTTTGGAATGTTGGTGAGAGCTGCCTGACACTCTTTCCTCTTTTCTCAGCATCCAGAGTTTCTGGAATTGGTTTTGAGAGTCTGTGAGTGGCCTTGTTGGGTGTCTGGAGGTGTGCTAGTGACTCACACTTTCATCTTTGCCTTTCACTTCAACTTTGTTTCCTACTTTGTGACTTCTCCATTTGTCCACGTTATACAGTATAAATTCTCCCTTACACAGTCCAAATGCTGAGTTCCCCAAAGATTTTTCTGGAAAACCTGGGATGTCAATGTCAAAATAGCTGTCCATCTGCCTGTATTGAAACCATTCTTTGTGGTTTATCAACCAGTCTATTCTGTTCTCAATTCTCATTATTTGAGGTTGTCTGGACTTCATCTCCAGTGAGGAAACCTCTAGCAGGTTAGTAAGGTCTTAATTGGGAGTCAAATAACATCCCACAAAGGCTTCTCCAGAAGTTTAGATAAAACATCCACTGAAAGCAAGACAGTGTTTCACCACTATTTTGATGCTTGTTTTTTGATGTGAATGGAGGGGTTCTTAAAATGCAGATTTCTGGGACACACTCCCCACAAATTCTGATTCTACCAGTCTGATTTAGGGCCAAGAACAGGAATGTTTCCTCAGAAACCCAAATGGTTGTAAAACAAGTGATTTTCTACTCTTACTCAGCAAAACTCTAACTTCTGGCTTTCCTCTATTGTTCAGGTGATTTGGATTGTTTGCAAAGGAATTTAAATGTTGTTTTCTGACATGCAATTTAGACAAAGCCCTCTTTACAACTTTTAATAAATTCATTTTTTTTGGTGTGCACGGAAATTTTTAAAAACTACATAACCAAAATATATACTGGGTCTAACTTAATGTTATTTGAACTTCTTGGGTTCCCTCATCTATTTAACATTCAAGAATAGATTCCTCAGGCAGAGCTAATAGAGAAATGCTTGATTGGTCCAATTTTTGAACAGATATGTCTTTATTTACTTCCTATTTTGATTTTCTTATATAAATTTACTTTAGATTTCTGATTAAAAAAATCTATTGGAAAATGTAATAACTATATGATATCTTGCAACAATAAAAGGACAATATTTCCAAAGTAAAACCAATTCCTATTACTTATTCAGAGCATTTTTCACAATTTGTTTGAAACAGCATATCAGACCCCAAAGCCTTAGAAGATTCTTTCAGAGTTAGCAGATTATTCACGTTCCAGAAAAGCAAAAGAGTGATAAAAGCTACATTCATTAAAAGTTTCCCATTTCTATAACAATTAAAAAATGTAAGGAATAAAAATCTAAAACACTAAGAAATTATATGGTAGAGTGATTAAAAGCATGGACTTTCTGGCCAAATAGTCCAGCATCAAATCTTGCCAGCTCTGCCAGCTGGGCAACCTTGAACTCTTTGCAGAACCTCCTGTGCTTTAATTTCCTTATCTATATGTTTTGAAACATGATATTACCTCCCTCATGGGGATTTAGTTAAAGCTGTTTAGATTCTTAGTATGTTAGTTTCCTCATCTTTCCAACAGTGATAATAACAGTACTTCTAGCAACGTTGAATTGCTGTGAAGATTAGATGATTTATTATATGTAAGGTGTTTAGCATGGCAAATGAGTTGATACACATACAACATTTAGATGGTGCTTGGCACATATTGAACAATCAATAAGTGTTAGTTATCATTATAACACACTAAGAACTTGAAAAGGATTTTATCTGTTTTTACTTACAGGTGAATAACTATGGACAACACAGATGCATATTTATTGAACTTTAAAGGCTGTTATTTTGAACGTTCTTTTGTTGATGTTGACCTACTAGAAAATCTAGATGATTTTGAAATTAGAGATGATGATGTCTTCATAATTACCTATCCAAAATCTGGTAAGTTGGAGGAGTGGACCATCTGTTACCAGTCTTCACGCTGGTTTGCCAATACATGTGTACAAAGGTGCCCTTTTCCATACGTTGACAGTAGCCCAAACTACATTTAGACAACAATTTAGGGTCAGAACAAGAGTTAAAGAAATCTCAAACTCTGTGACATTAAGTCCACGTGAGATGCATATATCGTCATTTCTAACGTCACTTATGAGGAAAACAAATATTGAGCCAAGACCAGAAACATGGTAAATGCTGACCTGTTGGCCTGGTCTGAGAATGGAAAAAACACATATTTAAAACCCAGGAGGATTTTTCTTAGCCCCATATCTTACTCAGAACTAATTCCTAATATGCCTTTCAGTTACTATAATTCCTTTGTATTTCTCTATAATACTGAAATAATTTTAAACTAAAATAAATTGCCTGCAAATCTTACATTCCAAAAAAATCTTGTTTTTTTCATTGTGCTTTTTAGAACATAGGATGGTTGGTGCCACTGAAACAATGTTGCATGGAGTGGTTAACGTTGCTCAAATATACATTGGATCCAAGTCAATACAAAAACGTTATTCCTGATTTTCATGAAAATGCTCCAGTTCCTCCTCTTCAATCTGCTTTGAAATTCATGCTCTTACTTATTTCTCCAAATTAGTACTCCATTGCCTCATCCACAGATTCCTCCGCTCTGGGAAACATACAACTGGTATTTTTTTCTTCCTCCCTTAGACGTTGGTAGCATCTCAGTTTGCCTATTTTTAGGTCAAGCACTGCAGTCATAAGAGTCTTTCCTTCACCCTTAATCCAGCCCAAATGTTTGGGACACCACACAGCAGTCCTCAGTACAGCCTATAGGGTTCTTGATCCTTTTGAAGGGGATATTGGTGTGTCTCCCCAGGAATCACCATAAATTGTATCAAATCTATCATGTACATAAATCAATTGAGTAGTGTCATTTGTAAGGTTTTTAGCATCTCACATCCTTTTAGAACATTGATGGTAAATTCATGAACATAGATACAAAAATTCTAAATCAAATGTAGGCAAAAGAAATTTAGTAATGTCAAAAAAAATACGCTATGACCAAAGTGGATTTAAAGTGAGAGTGAAGATTGTTTTAAAAATTTGTGAATGTAGTTCACCTATATTACTAGACTATAGGAGAAAGCCTGAATTATCATCTTAGCAGATGCAGAACAAGCATTCAATAAAATTCAGCATCCATTCACGATGGAAACCAGCTGCAAATTAGGGAGAAAAGGGAACTTCTTTAACCGGATAAACAGAATCTACCAAACATAAACATCATGTGCAATTGTGAAACATTGAAACTGTTACATTTAAAATCAGGAAGAAGACAGGAATGCTTCAATATTCAATATTGTATGGGAAGACCTACACTACATAATATGAAAAAAAAAAGATATGAGATGGGCCTTGAGCTTTAATTGTCTATACTTCTAAAAGATCAAGCTTTAAGAAAGGAGAGTAAGAAAGGAGAAATGGAGGTAACCGCAGAAAATAACAGAAAGAGACCCCACATGAAGCACAGGAAACAGACAAAAAGCTGAAGGATTAATCTGAATCACTCCTATCATGGACTCAGAACAACCACAGCTGCTCAGAGTGAAAAAGGAACTAAGAGCCCTTGATTTTATCTTTACTAATTTTAATGTAAAATGCAACCACAAAAACTTGGACAAATTCATGTGTGTACTTAGAGTGGGTAAAAGAAATAAAAACCCTTACTATTGAGAGTTATTAAGAATTAATTCAAGGTTGAAAACAAGATTATTTGTTTTTACAGGTACCATCTGGACTCAGCAGATATTAAGCTTGATTTATTTTGAGGGACATCGTAACAGAACTGAAATGGTGGACACAATTGATAGAGTCCCCTTCCTCGAATACAATGTACACAAAATGGACCATCAGAAGAGACCATCACCTCGCCTCTTCTCTTCCCACCTCCCATATTATTTAGCACCAAAAGGTCTCAAGAACAAAAGAGCTAAAGTATGTCACAGAAATTGCTTATGATGAATCTTTTACACAAACAAAAATACTTTCTTCCAATTTTCTTCTCCAGCACCACTCATACACGTTCTTTCAAATGTGGTTATTATTAGCTTTATATCATTTTATACATTAAAAATACATATAGAATCATAAGTATTTATGTAAATTGGGTCATCACACACACAGTTTGCAGTGTAATTTTATAACATATAGCCAAGATTCTTGTATTCTTTTTCAGCACTTAAAATTCTATTCTATTAATGGTTCAGTAGGATTTTATTGTATGGTTATATAATAATGAACATGTATTGATGGACAGGTAGGTTGCAACAAATTTATATATCACATTGCAATAAATATTCTGATAGATCTTTGCACTTTTTGATCTGCTGAACCGTTTCCCTAAAAACAGAGTTTTCAGGTTAAAGTGTCCAAATATTTTAAGTGACGGTAGGTATTATCTACTTGCCTTCTATAATCTATCAATTTACACTTCATCAAATAGCAGATAAACATGTTTTTTTCCTCACACAATTACTAGTGACTGGAATGATCAACATTTGCTAATGTGCTAGGAATAAAAATCTCATCCTTGAGTAATTAGCATTTTAATAAGTAATAAATAACTTGGTTTTAATGTTTGAATATCTTCTTTTATATTTCTGGGCTTTGAAATATCTTTTACATTCTTTGCCTGTTTTCCTTTAGCTTATCTGTTATTTACTCTTTTATAGTAAATGAGACAAACATTTTCCGAATTAATAGTTTACCTTTAAAAATAATTGAATGCTTTTAATTTTATTTAACCAAGCTGTTAATCTTTCTTTCATAGCTTCTAGCATTTGTGTCTTGCTAAGAAAACATTTCGCCACCACAAAGATTATGCATATACTTTCCAGGGTTTTCCTAATTTTTATGTTTTTAGTTTTTACATTTAATTGTAAATTATATCTGACACTGCATGTGATTTGAAATATGACTGTTGCATGGTATTTGCCAAGGGTATTAGCCAATTCACCCGATATGATTTGTTTAAGCATTTACTCTTTTTTTGTGTGTGTGTGAGAAAGATTGGCCTGAGCTAACATCTGTTGCCAAGCTTCCTTTTTTTTTTTTTTCTCCCGAAAGCCCCAGTACGTAGTTGTATATCCTAGTTACAGCTCTGTCTAGCTCCTCTATGTGGGATGCCGCCTCAGCATGGCTTGATGCCCAGGATCTGGGCCGGTGAAACTCTGCCCGCCGAAATGGAACGCGTGAACGTAACCACTTGGCCACAGGCCGCCCCAGCATTTACTCTTTCCCTACTGTTTTGAACTGTACAGTTTGATATGCTGTTTCCATAGTCGCTCCCTCTCATTCTGGATTCTTTATTCCAAGAATTGATAGATTTGTTTAATATGTGGCAGTTCTTCACTGTTTTAAATATTGTAACTGATAAGGCAAATCGTTATAAATTTATCTTTTGTTTTTCTTTTTTTCCGAAGAAGATTTGCCCTGAGCCAACATCTGTTGCCAATCTTCCTCTTTTTGCTGAGGAAAACTGGCCCTTAACTAACATCCGTGCTCATCTTCCCCTGTTTTATGTGGGACGCCTGCTACAGCACGGCTTGGCAAGTGGTGCATAGGTCTGCACCTGGGATCTGAACTGGCAAACCCTAGGCCGCGGAGGCAGAACGTGCAAACTTAACTGCTGTACCTTTGGGCTGGCCCCAATCTTCCCTTTTTTTTGCTTGAGGAAGATTAGCCCTGAGCTAACATCTCTGCCAGTATTGGTCGCTGCCACAGCGTGACCAACTAGTGGTGCAAGCCAGCACCTGGTACGTGAAACTGTGAACCCGAGCCACCAAAGTGGAGTGCTCCGAACCCAATCACTATGCCACGCGGCTGATCTCAACTTTCTTTTTTAATATATTAACTCCCCATTGATGTTAACACAGTCAATGAAATAGATTAAATATATAGATTATTTCTGGGACAATCGTTAACATTGCAGTATCCCCACATCCATCCAGCATCATTTTATTTCTTTTTATTTATCAGATCTACATTTATGGGCCCCAAATGTGCTATTTTGTTCTTTGTTTGCTTTTTACATATTTCTTTCCTAAATTTCCAGTTTTTTAAAAAATTTTTTCATGGATATTATGAACTGGAAAACTTTTTCACTACTATCTTTTCTGTTAGTTACCGCTGTTACAAAGAAAAAGCATTTGGTTTTGTACTCAGACCCCCTTAATCTCTTTTATTAATTTTCCGTTTATTCTCTGGAACAGATTTCATCTTAAAATAGTAATATGGTTTATTTTCCATTACTTTTCAATGTTTACACTTCCTTTTTTTCTCTTTTGGTAGTTAAAATCTGCAGAAAAAATAGAATAATGTAGGTGGTAAATGTTCTGCTGTCCTTGACTCTGGCATTTTTAGTATCTTTCCTTGTTGTTTTGTTTTGTTTTGTTTTACAATTGATTTTTGAGGCACATCTTGCTGAGAAATTTTTTCTCTTCTTGTTTACGTAGGGGTTTACTTTTACCTTTGTTTTGTCTTTGTTCTGAAAAGATCTAATCACATAAAATGCTTTTTTTGGCAACTTTGAAGATGCCATGTCTTTTCCCCATTTGATCTATAGTGAAATGAAATGCATTAACAATTTAATGATGTTCTATTTCTGGAATAAATCCTATTTGCTTATAGTATAGCACTTGTTTAATGTAGTGCTGGAAGAATTTTGTTAATTTACTCAGGAATTTAGTCTGTAATTATTTTAAAACTGGTCTTCAATTTTCTATGATTGCTCTATCTTCATTAGATTTTAGCATCACTGTAATTCTAGTAAAATAAATTTTTAAGCTTTTTGTATTTTTGCTAAGTTATTACGTAGTTTAAAAAATATACATTAATTGAATGTTTTGAAGATTTGATTAAAGTCCATTATAAATTTATCCGATGCTGTGAGCTTCTCAGTTCTACAATATTTTCATTTTTCTCATCAGGTTCTTTAAATTAGCTTCCTTTCTCTATACTGATGTTATAATTTTGTTTTCAAAGCAAATTATCCACATTTCATCTACATTTCAAAACATGGAAAATTATTACAATACATTAGCATATTCTTTCACGATCTGATGAATTTTCTCCAATTTTGTGATTACATCTTTTTCATCCACTTGTAATGATGAAAAATTTTATATTCTTTCCTTTTCACATTTTTCAGGATATCGGCAGTTTATGATTTTTTTCCTCCAAAGAACTCTCTTCTTTTTGAAACATAATTTAATATTTTCTACTTCATTGATTTCTGTTTTCATTTTAAATAATTATTTCTTCATATTTTGTTTGCATTTATTTTTCTGCTTTCTTTAGTTAAATGATTAGCATTATCTGTATACAGTGTTTAATTTTTAAATATTGACATTTTAAAATGAGGACTGTCCTTTGTAACATTGCTATAGAGATAATTTTGTTATATCTATAATCTATCATTTCAATTTTAGTTTTCTAATTGGTCCGAGTTATTTTGAGGATTTTTTCTCCAAGTGTTTATGTATTTTCTTTTTTAACTTTGTCATCATTGATTATTAGTATTATGGCACTATCCATAGGTGATAGTACTAAAAGAGTTCTAACTTATGAAGTTCATTAAAAAGTTTTATGGCCAATTTAAGAAGGATTACTGTGAATCACTACTATCATGGACTCAGAGCAACCATTTCTCTTTTTGCTTCATTTAGAATTCGATTTCAGGAAGTTAGTTAAAAATGTCAAAAGATTTAGTACACTTGATCAAACAGAAACATAGTCACTGTGAAACAAAGCTTAGTTATCCATTCAGCCAAGCTGACAATTAAAATATTTCAAAGGCAAATACAGAAAGCTATTCAGTTGTAAAAATAACTTAACTCTTTTAATAGAGAAGGCTCAGTTTCTTTTTTCTAAGTAATCAAAGACTTGATAAAAACAACATGGAGCACAGACAACAAATGAGACACAGAATCTTTGTTTCCTAGACAGATTACATCAAAGGTAAACAACTTTGTTCACAATTGCTTATTAAGAGCAGACTAATGACCTAACTAACTTTGTGATTTTAACAGAGGGAAAACCAAATTGTAATGGTGCACCAGTATACTTTTGATGTTAAAATTCTCTCTCTTTTTTTTCACTTAAATAAATCCATTCCAAGCTAAGCCTGTTTGAAAGTACATAAAATTCTTTTCTCAAGATTCCTTTTCCACGAACCTACTACAATTTTCAATATCTATTTAGGTTTTGTCCTATCTTCTTCCTTTCTTTTTCGGGAACAATCATTTTACTTTAGACCAGATGGAATCCGTCTTTGCCTTTAGATTTCCTAAGACATTTCAACCACGAGGGGACAGTTTCCCAGCTGTTGCAAAACACGGGGAATTACATGCTTTCCCCACTTTTGAACAGAACAGAATGACTTAACAAGAAGCTTCCACAAACAAAATATAGGCATTACAATAAAGTCAGAGAGCTCAAATTGAAAAGAGAGTGGAGCTCAGATCTGAGGGAGACTTACCCTCAAATTCCAGGGTCGATGAGAAAGCAGTGATATCAATGGACTCTCTGGGTACCAGCACCTGTTTGCTTATCGGCCTCAGAGTCATTAAGGGTCTGCTTTGGATCCCTCTTCTGATGCCATAAAACGTCAAAAGTTCAGAAATAACAGAATTCAAACAGATAAATCACTGAAGTAGTAATTAGTAAATGTTTATTGTGCACACACCTAAAAGACAGTTTGCAAATCAAGAGCACTCAAACCAAAACATGGAATGAGGCTCCAGGGTATGTTGTTATGAAGCAGCTTATGTAGTGAGAAAGCAGTGGCTGTTTATTCTTCACAGTAATTGGTCGTAACATTAGAATTTTATAAATGATAAGGAATTGGTCAGTGATTACCTCATATCAACCTTGGCAACCAGGTTAAGTTTGCTTATGATTTTCAGAGGCATAGCGTGAAATGATCCAGGTCAAGTTAATCTTGCAAAAGAAACTACATTAGACTCTGGGAATTTTCAAGGCTGGTCTTTGTTTTTCATTTTAACACTTTAAATGATTTTTTCCTGTTAAGGAAATCCTTCTCTTCTCCAAGATCAGAAATATATTCTCTCTTTTTTAGATGTCAAAGTTTTACTTTCATATTTAAAGCTTAAGCCATTTGTAAATGATTTTTGTGTATGTTGTGAGGTAAAAATCCATTCTCTTTTTTTTCCCCCATGTGGATAATTATTTGTTTCAACATCATCTGTTAAGTATTTTTTCCTTTATTCGTTGCACTCCAGTGCTACCTTGGCTGTGTATCTAGTATCACTTAATTATCATGAGAGCATATTGAAAGAACTCTTATGCAGGTAATTTGCAATATTAATCAAACTTAGAAATTAATAATTTCACCTTTAGAAATTAGTCCTGTATGCTTGTACATGTGAAAGGTCTTGTGAATAAAGTTATTTATTGCAACAGTCTTTGCAATAGCAAGAAATTGGGGATACTCAATATCCCTGAGTAGTAAACTGGATGAAATAAATTATTATGCATTTATATAATGAAATACTATGTTAGTGTTAAAAAAACTGTAAGAATAACCAAGAATTATTAAGAATATATTATCTCCTTTGCAGATTCTTTACATCTACAGAAACCCCAAGGATGTTTTGATCTCATATTTTCACTTTTCAAATTTGTTGGTTACATTAGAAGCTACAGATAACATAGAACAGTTCATGAAAAAGTTTCTAGATGGAAAAGGTAACTCTGAATTTATTTATTAAACAACACGTTTGTGAGGCAATGTTGCCACGTAGCAAATTCTCAAACTTAGGGAACATAATTTAGAAATATGGAAAAGGGTAATGATTGAAAGTGGAAGGCACACACGTGGTTACTATTGTCTGTCAACTTAATCTGCCACCCACTGGATTTGCCAGCCTCACCAGGACCACCTTGGGGATTGTCAAGGTTACAAAGACATATTGTTTAAGAGAGATTTTAACCCAATCGTAATAAAACCACAAATGGCCTAGCAATTCAAACTAGCTTGATTCATGTGTTTCTGAAGAGCTCTGCTCAGGGTAGATGTAGTTTTGTGCTCTGTCATGGACCTGTGTTCGGCCTTATGTGGCAGCTGTGGAATTTTCATTCCAACAATGAGGAAGATAGATTGATACAAGAGTCTTGAGGAGTGTGGACTTGGGGCTCCCATTCATTTTGAAGATTATATTCAGGTTCTCTCTCGCTGTAGACAGATATAATTGCTATGCAGAGATCGTAGAATAGACAGTAAGAGGAGAAATAAAGACATGTGATTTCAGGTGGGGGAAGAAGGAAAAGGAAGAGGCTTATCTGAAAGAAATCTTCAAAATTAGTTCTCTCGGCTTCTTTTTTCTGCATTGCTGCTTTCCTAGACACATAGGAAAAGCAAGTTTCTACTAAAAGCATGTAATTGTTCCCCAGAACACCATTTTTAAAAGACAGCATGGATGTTCAGTGGTGGAGCTTTATTTTTCCTTCTGAGAATTCCAGAACAGAAAAGAAAGGCTATAGATTGCTGTTCAATACGTACAACATCTTTACCTTATTACTTATTAATTTTCCCCACAGTGATAGGAAGCCTTTGGTTTGATCACATCAGAGGCTGGTATGAGCACAAACATGACTTCAATATTCTGTTCATGATGTATGAGGAGATGAAGAAGGTAAGAGGAGAAGGTTTTTGTTTTTTATTATTTCTATGAAACTCTTTCTCATTTTGTTTTCAATGAACCACATTCCCCTAGTTATCTTCGTACCTAACTATTTCTTAGCCTTCTTTTGGGGTTTCTAATTTCCTGCCCATCCCCTAATCACTGGTCTTCTTGAGGACTGTCCTCTCATGGTACACAGTCATCTTTTATAATTTCTTTCCATATAACCGTGTGTAGCAAGAAAAGCAAACTTAAGTGTCTAGAGCACCAGTGGCTTTAAACAAAGAAAGGGCACTGTGGAGTTCTGGGGTGAGTAGCCACTGAGATATGGCTAATGAAACAGAGGTGAATGTGTGTCCTGTGATGCAAATTCTTCTTGTATTTTTAAGAGAATCTTGCAAGGTAGCTGTCCTGTGAAATCACATAATGTTTACATACTGGCATCCATTGAAAGCTGCCTTAAAACATCGCATAAATTTAAAAAAACACATTTGAAGTTCACTATTTTGTGATCTCTGATTGATATTTGATTTATTATCTCATTTCTAAAAATTGAGAGCCTACCATGTCACAGGCATTAAATTCTGAGAAAAAGAGGAATGAACCTTTTATTCCTACAGTTTATAAGCCAATAGGAAGACAGGTATTCCCCAAGAAGATATTTATAATTAAAAGTGTGATAAGTGTTGTTAAGAATAGCTGCGGGTGTGATATCAGTATATGGAGTAAGGGGATCTGGTATAATCGAAGGTGATAGGCAATGTTTTTGGAAACAGCAAGCTAACGAATATGAATTAACAAAGGGAGAAAGGGTAAAAGAGAGTTCTAAGCATCAAAAAGAGAATGTGCAAATTCCCTGAAGCATAAAGTACATAACACCCTTGAAGAACTGAAGGAAGAAGTTAAAAGCAAGTGGAAGTGATAAAAGATTAAGATAGACAGGTTTCCAGGAGCCAGATTGTGCAAGGTCTGTAGATTATGTTAAAGACGGTGATTACTTTAACCTTAAAAAACATTAAGGAGCCCTTTAAGAATTATAAGAAAGATAGCAATGTGATAGAATTAATATTTTTAGAATATCATTCTCATTCATGTATTGAAAAGTGACAATAGTGAATATAGGCAAACTTGTTACAGACCAGTGTGCTAATCCACTGAAAATCAGTGGTTCTTTTGACTGAAAGGTATTGTTGAGTTCAGAGAGAATGCTAAGTTTAAGACATATTTAGGAGTTAAAAAGGAAAGGGATTATATATAGGAAAAATGAAAGAGAGAGATGTCAAGGATGCTTCCTATATTCCCGGTTTATGTTTATATATTTGTGTTTACATAATCGTGTCATTCATGAAGGTGTTTAGGGAACACCGAAGCAGAGTAAGGCTAGAGGGAGAAGATTATGAGATTGGTTTTGACATCTGGAGTTCAAAGTAACTTAGCAGTATCCAGATGAAGGTATTGGAAATAAGTGGAAAACACAAGTCTAAAGGCCAAAGAAGAGGTTTGTGCTGAGAATATCAATAATATTAATTTGGGCATCATCACTGTATAGAATATAACTGAAACTATGAATGTAAATAAAACTGAAAGTGTCAAGGGAGTGGGCAGAGGGAAAGGGAGAACGAAAGGGAAAAGGAGGGAGAGAGGGAGAAGAAAGTAGAAACTAGAATCTATTACTGAGAGACCTTAAGACATGGAGTCTTGATAGAGAAGGGTGAGCCCACCAAGGGAACAGAAAAGGAACAATCAGAAAGGCAGGAAGAAAACAAGGAGCGTGTGGTGACAGAGAATCCAAGTGGGTGTGCCAAGAGTGGTCTTCAATATCCTTTGAAGATATTTAAGGCTGTTGAGAAGTCCAGTAAAAAAAGAGAGTTAAAATTTCCATTAAATCAAGTGACATGAAGTATATAGTATGAGATACTGCAAACCAGGCTGGAGTAGATTGCACAATAAATTGATGAATCCCAGATATACATCGCCAGCCCAGTCGCATATATATGTTGTAACTGTCTTCTATATACTTACTTTTATGTGCAGTATAGAATTTATCGCCTCCCAACAAAAACTGCTTCTCCTCCCATGAATTGCACTTGTAATTTAAGTGACCTAAATCAGAAACCGAGATTCATGCTTAACACCTCCTTCACCCTTACATCTTCATTTCATCAATCAGTCACTAAGTCATGTGAATTCTGTCTCTGAAATCTTTGTGGAAGACACAACTTATCTCACTCCTTTTGCCTCTTCCCTGGTCCAGGTCACTATCATCTTTTGCTTAGTTTCTACAGTAGCTTTTCTAATTGGTCCACCTACCTAAAATCTCCCCTCATCGTCATATATTTTCCATTCTTCAATCAGAGTGACCATCTCAAATGCAAATTTGATTCCTTCCATACTTTTACACTAGAGTTCCTCTGCAAGAATGTGCTTACAACGAAAGCATTCATAAACAATAGAATTTACTGAAAATTTGGACAAAGAGACCTCAGCTATGCAAAATGTCTTGAATATTTCTCTATTCTGTCATCAATATATTATCACCTGATATCACTTTTCTCTTACTTTCCATCAAGTAGCACTTTGTTTATTTTTTCATCTAGGTTTTTCAACAGTCTTTCAAAGAAAAAATTTTTTTTTTTTTTTACCATATAATAGGAAGAGAATCTTTTTTCAATTTCCCCTGTCAGGAAAGATAGATCTTAGTCAAGTCAAGTGTTTCTCTTAAAGCTCTATCAAGAAAAGGATCCCAATTTTCTCAAGCAATGAGGTATCCATCAATGTTGTAATAGACTTCGAGATCTTCCCTTGGAAATTTTTTTGTTAATTTTGGCTAATACTGTTTATGACTGATTCTCCAATGGTAATTGCATCAGAAACACCCAAAGCCCATATGGTTTATCCCAGAAGATTTTGAACATTTCCCACTGACTTAGAGGTGGTATCTCTGGAACATAGTATCTATAAAAAAATCATTTACCACTTTCCTGTTTCAAGTGTTGAGCTGTCTGTAGTTTGAATGGAGGGAAATGACTATACTGTTTGAGGTTTCATATTTAGATGATAAAACTGTAAATAAAAGTAAAGAAGTAGTTATTATAAACATAAGAATAGCGGTCATTTTCAAGGTGGAGGGTAATGTTTACGATTAGGAAAGGGATTTGTTTGGTGTGGTTCTGGAATACTGGCATTATTCAGTTTCTTGACATGCATTTGGAACCATGAGTGTTCACTTCATAATAATTCATTAAGCTGCACAATTGTTTTATGCCTTTTCTGCATGTGTGTTTTATTTTAAAATGTAAAAAAATCTTAAGAAAGTTTTATTTATCTTAAAAGAACTGAGGAGCAGAGTTTAGTGGCCTAACCTGGGGACAACCTAATACAGTGAAAGATTGAACCTTTCCCCTCTCATCATCTGTCCTTTATATGTTGTACTTGGTTGAAACTTGCATTAAGAAATTCATGCATACCCACGGGCCTGGGTGTAGTAATGTCTGGAGACTGAAGCAGTAGGGTGGTAAAGGAGAGCAGTGCTCCTTGTCGTCAATGAAGTACAGCTTACTGTTTGGTGGGATCCAGCGCAGGATGATGGACAGTGAAAGCGGCAGTGTTGAGGAATGGCTCACATGCTGAGGAAAGATCACAAGTAGAGAACTTCAGAGACATGGGAAAGAGTCTTCCAAGCTGTCTTCCAAGCAAAGAATGCTTTTTAGAGAAAGCTGTTCTCTGTTTTGTCTCTCCATGATGTGTCATTCTGAATGTTTCCTTCTGTCCCTGGCTCCCAGTTTGTTATTTCTGCATTCATCTGAGTCTCATGTGCTGTTAGAATTATTCACCAAGATCTTCATCTCTATTCAGGACTTGGGATCGATTTTCAATCTGTTATATTATGTTTTATATTTTATAGGTTTTTATCAAATTTTTATTTTTGTGTTTTATCACCTTGAATTCCGTAAGCATAGTTATGTGAAAATTCTTTTTGATAGTTGCAGTATCTGTAACATCTATCATTCTATTTCCCTGTTTTTACCTCTGCTGGGTTTTAGCTACAGCGTCTCATCTCTTCATGTTCTTGCATATTTTGATTGCATGTCAGTCGTTTCATATAAAAATTTTTGTAGAAATAATTTGATAACTAGGGTCCTATTATTTTAGTCACCAATCACACTCAACCTCTTCCACTGACTGTTATCACCTAAGAGGTAAGTACTAAGATACTCAGCAAGCTCAGTGGGGCCTTTCATCCTGTCTCCAACCTGCCTTTCCAGCTACATCACTTGTGAGTCTATCAAGTACGAAGCACACTGGAGTTCAGTTTTCATTGAATATGGAAGGAATTTCAAGTTTCTGTAACTTGGGACTTACTTTTATACTCAGAAAGGAATTCTCCTGATTTTACAGAGACATTTCTTATCCTTCCTTCTTGAAATGGAAGAAATGTTTTTTCTTCTTGAAAATTGCTCTAACTTCTTCAAGGTAAAATTAATCTCTTTTTCCTATGAGCTACCATTGCGCATTGTGTTTCTTTTTCCAATTTTGCCTCCAAAATGTCTGTAACATAAAATTTACCATTTTAACCATTTTTAAGTGTACAGTTTTGTGGCATTAAGTACATTCACATAGTTGTGAAACCATCATGCCTATCCATGTCCAGAGCTTTCTTCCTCTTGTAGAACTGAAACTTTATATCTCAAAACAATAACTCCACATTCTCCTCTCCTCCCAGCCCTCGGCAACCACCCTTCTATTTTCTGTCTCTTAGAATTGGATTACTCTAAGCGTCTCATCTGAGTGGAATCATAGTGTTTGTCTTTTTCTAACTGGCTTATTTCAGCTAGTATAATGTGATCAGAATTTATCTGTGTTGTAGCACATGACAGAGTTTCATTCCTTTTTAAGGTGGAATAATATTTCATTGTTTGCATATACCACAGTTTTTTATCCATTGATCCATTGGTGGACACATGCATTGCTTCCAGTTTGACAATTTTGAATAATGCTACTGTGAACATGAGTGTACAAATATGTGTTTCAGTCTCTGTTTTCAATTCTTTTGGATATATACCCACAAGGTGAATTGTTCGATCACATGGTAATTCTTTTCATAGGTTTTTGGGGAGCCACAATACTATGAGTACTATTTTCCATTAAAACAGCGCAATGTTACATTCACATTTATTTTTACTCCACACTTCCTATTTCTCCACATTCTCATCAACATTTGTTATTTTCTGTTTTTGTTTTTGTTTTTCTAAAATCATAGCTATTCTAATGGGTGTGAAGTGGTATCTCATTGTGGTTTTTGGCTTGTGTTTCCCTAATGATTAGAGATCTTGAGTATTTTCTCATATGCTTATTGACCTTTTGGATATATTCTTTGGAGAAATATCTACTTAACTCCTTTGCTCATATTTTAACTGCATGTTTGTTTTTTTTGTTGTAAAGTGTTGTTTGTTATGCTCTCTCAATATTAGCCTCATATCATATATACGATTTGGAAGTGTCTTGTAGTCCATGGGTTGCCTTTTCATTGTTATTGTTCATTGGTGCACAGAATTTTTTATTTTGACATAATCCATTTTATCTATTTTTTTTGTTGCATGTCCAAAGCATCATTGTCACTTCCAATGTCATGAAGCTTTTCTCCTATGTTTTCTTCTAAGAATTTTAAATTTTAGCTCTTATGTTTAGGTCTGATCCATTTTCAATTAATTTTTGTACATGGTATACTAGGAAGGAGTCCAAGTTTATCTTTTGCGTGTAGATATCCAGTTTTTTAAACAGCATTTGCTGAAAAGACTGTCTTTCCCCATTGAACAGTCTTGGTACACTTGTCAAAGTTCATTTCGCCTTATATATGAAAGTTTCTTTCTGGGCTCTCTATTCTGTTCTTTTTGTCTATGTGTCTCTCTTTGTGCCAGTACCACCCTGTTTTGATAACTGTGGATTTGCAGCAGTAAATTTTGAAATCAGGAAGTGTGATGCCTCCAACTTTGTTCTTCTTTTTCAAGATTGTTTTGGCTATTCTGGGTCCCTTGAGATTCCATATGAATTTTAGGATGAATTTCTCTATCTTCAGAAAATATCACTCAGATATTGCTAGAGATTGCAGTGAATCTAAGGATCACTTTAGAAAGTATTTACATCTTGACATTATTAATTCTTCCAATACATTAACACAGGATGTTTTTCCAGTTATTTCAGTTTTCTTTAATTTTGTTTAGCTATGTTTTGTAGTTTTCAGTACACAAGTCTCACCTCCTTAGTTTTTATTCTTAAGTATTTTATTCTTTTTGATGCGTTCACAAATGGATTTCTTTTCTAGATTTCTTTTTTTGACTCTTCATTGTTAGTGTATAGAAATACAACTGATTTTTGCATGTTTTTTGTATACTTTGACTTTGCTGAACTTGTTTAGGACTTCTAACAGTTTTTTTGTGAACTTTTTATTGTATTCTGTATATAAAATTATGTTTTCTGTGAACAGAGATAATTTTACTTCTTCCTTTCCTGTTTGGATGCCTTTATTTCTTTTTCTTGCTTAATTTCTCTGGGTGGAACCTCTAGTGCTATAGTGAATAGAAGCGTTGAGAATGGGGATCCTTGCCTTGTTCCTGATCTTAGCAGAATGTCTTTCATCTTTCACCATTGAGTATGGAAAGGTTTTGAGTATTGTCAAATGCTTTTTTCTGCATCAATTGAGATGATCATGTGGGTTTTTTCCCCCCATTCTTCTTTAACTGTCATGTAGTACATTGATTAATTTTCATATGTTGAAACTTCTTTGCTTTCTAGGAGTAAATGCCACTTGAAAATGGTATATATTTTCAGTATGTTGTTAAATTCGTTTTGCTGGTAAGTTGTTGAGGATTTTTGCATCTTACCTTTCTTAAGTGATGTTGTTCTTTAGTTTTCTTTTCTTGTAGTGTCTTTGTCTGGTTTTGGTATCAAAGTAATGATAGCCTTACTAAATGAGTTAGAAGTGTTTCCTCTTCAATGTTTTGAGAGTTTGATGATTGGTGTCAATTCTTCTTTAAATGTTTGGTAGACGTCAACAGTGAAGCCTTCCAGACCTGGTTTTTCTTTCTTGGGCCCTTTGTATTTAGTTACTTGCCTTCCTCTATCCCTCATGAAATTGTAAACTCTTAACAAGCACATATAGCATATTATTGTTCTCATAAACTTCCCCAGCACCTAGCACAGTTTCTGAAACATATAGGATTTTCTAAATGTATTGGTTGAATTGATGAATGAAGGTGAGCTGTCCTAATAAAATCAAGCAGTAGGAAACTCTAACAAAGCTGGCAATCGTGGCTTTCGTTTTCATAGAAAGAATAAGGAAGTACACATCCTTGTCAAACTTTAGACTTAGGATAAGCCCAATTACCTTTAGGTTTTCAAAATGTGACAAAATGTTTGAATGGAACTCATGTATTCCTTGTAAGCTGAATACTTTCTCATACCCACAATTCCTTCAGGATCTCAGAAGTTCTGTGCTTAAAATCAGCAGCTTTCTTGAGAAAGAACTGAGTGAAGAGGACCTGGAAGCTGTTGTGAGAAAGGCTACATTTCAGAACATGAAGTTTGATCCACAAGCAAATTATGATCATGTTATAAAACATGAAATCGGGACAAGAACAAATGAGGGCTATTTCCTGCGCAAAGGTGATCCTCAATGGTTTACAGAAGCAAAAGTATTGAGAGTTCCCTTGAGTCCCAGGCCCTTACAGTAATTAAGGAGTGCTGCCATCATATCCCTCTAAGTACTGCCATGTGGGCCCTAGAGAAAATCAAACATCCTAACTGAAAGTGGCCATGAAAAGTATCCCAGCAAACCAAACAGTCCTTTACTACAGAGCCTGACACTTAGCCCTGACAAATAAACATTAGATTCCTTCCTTCTAGTCCACATTATCTACTCTTTAAAATTTGTTAGCAAGTGTTACCTGAAGGCTAAGGATATATGTGATGAGAGCTCCAATTCTTATTTTCCTATATTTCTTCTGGAATATTTTAGAAGTAAACAATATAAATTTTATTGTGGTGAACCAAGTTTGTATTTCTGTTATTATCTCATGCATCAGATTTTTTCATTGTAAAAAGTAGATTGATATTTAATTAACTGAACCTGGCATGAATTCAATTATTCAACAACATGCAAGAAATTTTCTTGTGCTCTTATAACATGCCAGGAGTAGTTAAGAATGAATATATTCTTTTCCTGATGCTCCTTAAGTTCAAAATTTTTAATTTAATCTTTTTAATGTACATCAGTCTAAAAGATAATTTGCACTTCTCTATTTTATTAGTATTTTACTTTCTAATTTATTCATAGCTGCATTATGATTATGGACGTTAATTCTTAATTATGTAAAGATTTATTAAAATTTCTGTAGATATTGATTTTTAAAAAATTATTGCTTAGTCTTTAATCCCATTTATTACCAAACTTGACTTCTCATTGCTCAATTAAATCAGATATAAAGTAATTCTCATGCTCATAATAGCTTGCTACCTGTTCCAAATGCCAATAATAATGTTTACATAAGAAAATTTGATAGATGAAGATGTCAAATTATTAATCTTCATTACAAAATTTGCTTAATGATAGCTTCAAACCTTTATCAAGTGAAACTGCAGCAATGACAGCTCTAACTACCTCTACGACCCTCACTTCATTACTTGAAAATGTTTGGATTTCAGTTCTTTCAACTTTAAGAATAAAGAAATACTTACTTTTAGGGTTTGGTTAAGATTTATACTGCATGATAGATGTAGTTTGCCAGGTATGGTGCCCAGCAATTAGTAAAATATATTTAAATATTCTAATCTTTTCATATATTTTAGTTTTGTTTTTCCTTCCAAAGAAAGGCTGTAATTTAATGGTAGTGGTTGTTGGAGGTCTATCAGATAGGGAGGTGGGCTGTAACTCTATTTCCTGTGTTACTGTGTTCCTAAGTTTGTTTCCTAGCTCATCCCGCATAAGGAAAGGTGAAGTATCAAAGCACACAGAGAACTAACAGATATTTAGCTTGGCCTGGAGAAGAGATTAAAGAGGGTTGCAGGAAACTTTGCCCTGACGGTGCTACTTCCTCACCCAGATGCTGTTCGTGTGCTTATCTCACTAGGTACCATTGGAGACTGGAAAAATCACTTGACTGTGGAGCAAAATGAGAGATTCGACAGAATATTCCAAAGGAAGATGAAAGATTTTCCCTTGAAGTTCATCTGGGATATAAATGAGGAGTAGAAGTAGTTCAAAAGAATCATATAGAAAATCTACTAGCTAGAGAGAATATTTTAATATAGATATTAACTTGTGCTTCTCGTACAAGAGTTAACTATAAAACTTTATTGATTAAAAAATGAGTGAACTATGCTTAGATTAGTTGCCATGGATTTGATAAACACTTTGAAATTTCAAAAATTACATTGATTTGGGAGATAGTCTGCACTGATAGCCTGTAGGATACAGGAAAAACAGAAAGCACGCAACATGAATTGTAAGTGTCTTGAGACACTCTTCTGTGGTGTGTATTTTTTAAAAATCTACGATTCAGTAATGGTGAATGAAACATTAAAAATCCTTCTATGTTTACTATTAAACTTTAATCCTTTGGCTTAAAATCAATGTGAATGTCAAAATAGAGAATTCACATGTCTCTGTTTAACAATTTACCAGATCACAAAGTTTGCACTGGAGTTCAAGGGTCACAGATAGATTAATCATCTAACGGTTCAATCACTTCACCATTTTGATGAAAAGATATAATTGCATCCTAATGCACAAAGATACATGCACCCCTATGTTCATCGCAGCATTATTCACAATCGCCAAGGCTCGGAAGCAATCTAGGTGCCCATAAAGGGACGAATGGATAAAAAAGATGTGGTATATACTCACAATGGAATACTATTCAGCCATAAGAAATGATGAAATCCGGTCATTTGTGACCACATGGATGGACCTTGAGGGTATTATGCTAAGTGAAATAAGTCAGAGGGAGAAAATCAAATACCATGTGATTTTACTTATAAGTAGAAGATAAAAACAACAACGAACAAACATAGCAACAGAGATTGGATTGATGGGTACCGGAGGGGAAGCAGGGAGGGAGGAGGGCAAAAGGGGAGATTAGGCACGCATGTGTGGTGATGGATTATAATTAGTCTTTGGGTGGTGAACATGATGTAATCTACACAGAATTCAAAATATGCTATGATGTACATCTGAAAGTTATATAATGTTATAATCCACTGTTACTGCCATAAAAATAAAAATTAAAAACTATAATTGTGTCTATAGCATATCATTCAATAAACTAATTTCACATGTGTTTAATAACTAAATATTTAAGGCAAAATCATTCTGAATGACTGGAAAACTGTAGGTGAATCTGTTAATTCTGAAATAGAAACTTTTGAAGCTTAAAAGCAGTAGAAGAAACTTAAAAGGAAAAATTTAGTAAATTTACAATCGTAAACATTTTAATCCACAGCCACCAATAACAGTCAACTAATGGAAACAACCCAATGTCCATGTACAGTAAAGTAAATAAGGAAATTATGTCCTCTTATAGAAGGAAACACTATACATCAGAAAGGATGCATGAATTACAACTATGTAGAAAACACATATGAACCTCAGAAGCTTTATATTCAGTGGAAAAAGCCAGACACTTATTGCACAATTTACTGTATAGATTAAAACACAAGGAAAATTAATCTATGATTTAGAAGGAAAGTGGTTAGCTTTGGGGGATGGTGTTATAACTGGACAGGCCAATGAGAGAATTCCTGAGGTCTTGGTCATAATCTGTTTCTTGATCTTACTGCTGATTCCATAGGTGTGCTCACGTTGTGAACATTTCTGGAGCTGTGCACATGTGAGTGCGAATTTGTCTGTATTTTTGTCATATTTTAATGAAATATGTGAAATAATTCATACACGTGAAAACTTTCTGTGAGAACAAATCAAGGAAAAGTTTGCAGTTTGCAGTTTACAGAAAAGACAAAACATTAATTACTAACTAGCCAAAGTTTAAAAATTGGGGAATTGTCAATGTTAGAGAGAGTATGGTGAAATAAGCATTCTCATATAATTTTATAGTAATTAAAATCAGTTCAAATCCTCTTTATAGCAATTTTGAAACAAAATCAGATCTTAAAAATTGTCACATCCTATGATCCTATAATTTCATTTCTAGGAAACTTGAACTCCTATACAATGTTTCTCAATTTTCTGAAATTTTTATTTTACTTTCACTACATTTATTTTTTGAACTAGCATAATTTTCCAGGTCCATGCCATAGGCTTGTTTTTATTGCACAGATAAAACATTTATTTACATCTTATTTGCACTTTGTTGAAAATAAGAATAATCTATTTCTGACTAGTTTGTGCAAAATAGGGTAGTTCACGAAAATGATTGATGGAACCCCAAAAGAAGAATTATCTGGCAGTTCTTGAAGAATTGACACCAAGAAGTATGAATTAATCAGGGATTCACGTATCTTTTCAGCTTCTTTTTTCCTCTCTCTCTTGTCAGAGCTTCATGGTCTCTCATTTCTCTGTCCTTCATGTGAAGGATGCATTCTTCTCTCCCTCTGTCTCTGAAGATTGGTCTTACTTTGGTATGATGGCAGTCATACATTACGTCCAAATGACCTCAGTTCAAACAACAAACAGAGAAAAGGCTAATGTTTTTGAGTTGCAATTTCGGGGAGAGAAAATAAATGGTGTGGGTTAGGTCACTTAGTTTCCCTGAGCAGTCAACCCAAGGTCAAGGCAAAATAGTTATCGAGTACGAACACTACACGTAGAATCTGTAGCATCCTTGAGAGGATGAGATAGTGAAAATATCTCCATTATGCTTGTCATAGCTTGAATTCCATCCTTTAAAAAGATATATTGATGTCCTAACCCCCATTACCTTAAGTTGTGGCGTTATTTGGCAATAGGGTCATCTTAGATGCAATTAGTTCTATTCAGATACTGGAGGGAGTGGGCCCTTAATCCAATACAACTGGCATCCCTATAAGGAGAGGAAAGGGATAGAGGGTGAAGACAGTCACGTAACAACAGAGGCTGAGTTTGGAGTGATGCATCTAGAAGCCAAAGATTCCGGCAAACACCAGAACCCAGAAGAAGCAAGGGATGATTCTCTCCTACACTTATCAGAGGAAGTATGGCCTTGTTGACATCTTGATTTTGGACTTCTAGCCTCTAGAACTGTGAGACAATACATTCCTGTTGTTTTAAGCCACCTGCATATTGATTTGTTCTTACAGAAGCCCTAGGAAACTAATAAAATACCTACAACTTAAGGAAATAATTGCTACACTAAACCAGAGCCATTAGAGCAGGTTCTGGAGCCAAACCAAAGGAGTCAGTAAGTAATGTAGTGCTCATTAGTTCTGATGCATGAGGTAAATATACAAATACATGTCAGCAATCACTGTAGTAATAATTGGAGATTTAAGTCTGTTCTCATCAGTCTTATTCAGCAAAGTACTGGAAAGCCTAGCTAGGAGACTAGGGCAAGCAAAGGAAATAAAAGACATAAATTGGAGAGGAAGAGGCAAGGATTGTCCGTTTGCAAATGACATGATGACCTATGCAGAAAATTCTGAGGTATTAGCAAAAAATCTGCTAGAACTAATAAGTGAGTATGGCAAAATTGTAAAATACAAATTGTTGTGTTTGTTTGGTGAGAAAGATTGGCCCTGAGCTGATTTCCATTGCCAGTCTTCCTCTTTTCTTTCTCTTAAGAAGATTTTCCCTGAGCTAACATCCATGTCAATCTTCCTCTATTTTGCATGTGGGATGCTACCACAGCATGGTTTGATGAGTGGTGTGTAGTTCCACACCCAGTATAAAATGTAGTATATCCATACAAGGGAATTACATTCAGCCACCAAACCCAGTCCACGAAAACCAGGGCCATCAAAGCAGAGTGTACAAACTCAACCACTATGCTACCGGGCCACCCTGCAAAATGCAAGTTCTTGACATGCAAAAATCAATCATATTTTTATATGCTAGCAAAGAACAATTGAAAAATTAAAAACATTATACCATATACAATTGCTCAAAAAAAAAGAGAAACGTTTGGTGCATGTCTAAGAAAACATGTGCGGAGTCTGCATGCTGATGAACAAAATATTGTAATAACAGAAATCAAGGAAAACTAAATTAAATGGAGCAATATACTATGTTCATTGACTTTAAAATTTATCACAGTAAAGAAGTCAGTTTTGCACAAATTGATCTATAGGTTAATGAAATTCCTACGAAAATCCAAATAGGATTTTAAGATTTCCTATATAGCAACAGTTGATTAAGACAGCATGGTTTAGGCAGAAGAATAGACACATAGACCAATGGAACACAACAGAGATTCCATATATAGAGCTGCACACATACACCAGTTTAATTTTGACAATGGATCAAAGCAATTCCATGGAGAAGGATAGGTTTTTCAATGAATGGAGATGTAATAAGTGGACATTCACAGAAAAAGACAATAACACTTGACCTAAATCTCATACCTTATAAAAGTTAACTCAAAATGTATTTTGTATCTAAATATTAATCTATAACACTTTTAGGAGAAAATATTCATTATCTAGACATAGGCAAAAAGTTCTTAGATGTGACATCAAAGCCATGATCTATAAAAGAAAGATATGATAAATTAAACTTGGTCAAAATTAAAAAAAAAATCTTTTGCACTGCAGCAGACCTTGTTAAGAGATGGAAGGAAAAGCCATAGACTGAGAGAAAATATTTGCACATCACATATCTGATAAAGGACTTGTATTTAGAGTATAATGAATTCCCTAAACTCATCAGTAAGAAAATAAACAATCCAATTATAAAATAGGACAAAGACTTGAAAGACACTTTATCAAAGAGAATAAAGGAATGGCAAACAAGCACTAGAAAAGTTGTATACTACTATCAGCCATTAGTGAAAGGGAAATTAAACCTACTATGAGATACCACTACACACTTATTAGGATACATTAAAAAATATTAACAATACCGTGTTCAGGCAAAGATGTGGATCAAACGGATCTCTCCTACATTGCTGGTGAATATAAAAAATGGTGCAGCCATTTTGGAAGACAGTTTGGCAATTTTTAATAAAATTAAACATATACTTACCATACAACTCAGCAATCTCACTGCTGGGTATTTATCCTAGAGAATGAAAACTCATACTCATACACAAAGTTGTATATAAATTGTCATAGCATCTCTTTGTAATATTCCAAAATTAGATGTATCCCAAATGTTCTTCAATGGGTGAATGGATAAGAAACTATAGTATATCCATACAAGGGAATTCCATTCAGCAACAAGAAGGCATGAGCAAAGCACAATAACTTGGAAGGATTGCAAGGGCATTACACTAAGTGAGGAAGGCCAAACTCAAAAGGTTACCTTGGTTCTGATTCAAATTTTTTACTTTCTCAAAGTGATAAAATTATAGTGATGGAGAACCAGTGATATCCAGGTGTTACAGCTGGGAGGTGGAGGTGACTAACAAGAAGCAATGCAAAGAAGACTCTTAGTGGTGACGGGACAGTTTGTATCCTGATTATGCTGATGGTTACATGAATCTACACCTGATAAAGTTTTATAGAACTCTAATCAATTTACACCACCAAAACAATGCATGTAAACTTAAATAATGTGTGTATTTGAGTTAATAGTATTGTACCAATGACAACTTCCTGCTTTTGGTAATGTACTATGGTTATGGAAGTAATTATCATTGGGGAAGCTTAGAGAAAGGAACACTAGGATTCTCTG